AGGCAATTACCATGCATCACCTAGCTGTAGTCCTACGAACAATGAATGCAAATCAACCTTTGTATGTAGGTTTGCAGCCTACTTTATGTTCGCACTTTTTGTATATCATTCTCAACATACAATGGCATTAACATATATTCACTATTCGAACAAATTTGCATAACTGAATGTGAGCTTTTTAGTCCCTTAGATGCAATTTGACTATGTTCTGGGACAGTCTGTGCCAGTGTCGGTATTGATAAGTGATAACAGTAACAACAATAAACTTAAGATAGATAGGCCTAGATAGATTATGGCCTAGATAGATTATAATTATTCTCCATGACTGATCGGCCAAAGCATTGTGTTATATTAAAAGCAAAGTCATCCCCGTGCAGTACCAAACTAGAACACAGAACTGGATTCATGCACATTTTCCATTAGACAAATTTGTTCTCATGAAAGAACCTAATAAGCAATGCCGAAAAACGCATAACTCACTTCATGCAAACAAATTCACTTGTTGGAAAACAAGCTTTAATAACTAATAAAAGTTATATTTCTAGGGTAGATCTACATTCACCCCTTGATGAGTAAAATTGTCTGGCGTTAGACAGAGTATAATAATAAAGTAGGGCGCACCAGAACACAATGCAACTCAATGGGTTAACTAGACACATGGCCATGGGCAGATAGGCCAGCTAACCCATTAAGCACCAGTGCTCTTCCTCTTGAAGAGTAAAATCAGAGTAAAATAATAAAGTAAGGTCATGACATCAGGGCACAATGTGACTCAGTGGGTTAATTACTGTACACAAAGACTTGCCTTCCTCCAATCCTCCCCACATAACATTAATATGTAATTTAATATCAAACTGCATATATGTATAGAATAACACAATTACAACCAAAATATAAGGCAAACAGACACATTTTATATATACACTGTACTGAAAGAAAGCTTCGGATCAACAGACAGAGATTGAACGACCGAAAAATACAAGCCAAACTTTGAGGTTTTGCTCAGTATTTTTCAGGTACGGTTTGCTTCTATATATTTCAGTTGATCATGAATCCCTCTCAATGCGAAGCTTTGTGTAGTACCAGAACTTTTGCAGTTAACGTACCAAATTATGGGGACTGGGGTCAAGAATCAAGATCAATTTTCAATATGGCGGATTCGGACACCGCGATTGTGGGATTGGCAATAATAGCAAGAGATTTAGCTAAGAGGTTAAAAAGGAGACAAAGAAAGTGGGGAAAATATTTCTTTCGCAGAAAGAAAAAAATGGCCATTTTATTTCTCAGACTAAGTGAAATCTATCTACGTCGAGAGACGGTGCTAAGAAGGTTCTGGCAAGAGCCAAGCAGAGGGAAAAGTTTATTTTGGGAAAGAACCGCAAGTCAGTGGGTCGATGACAATCTCTGGGTTGAAAATTTCCGCATGTCGAAAAATTCTTTTCTTGCAATCTGTAGAGAATTAAGCGAAGTCTTACACAAGAAAGATACAAGGTTTCGTAAAGCCATTACTCTCGAAAAAAGAGTAGCTGTTTGCTTGTGGCATCTTGCAACAGGCGAAGACATGAGATCTTTAGGCTGGCGATTTGATATTGGCAAGAGTACAGCTTGCCAAATTGTTAATGATGTGTGTGAGGCTATAGCTGTTGTGCTTTTACAAAATGTCATTAAATGGCCAACAGGAGAGGCATTGAAATCCGTATTAAAAGGGTTTAAAGAAGAATGGCAATTTCCACAGTGTGCAGGTGCTATAGATGGGACACATGTCCCAATTGCTGCTCCATCAGAATACCCATCCAATTATTATAACAGGAAGTGTTTCTACTCAATTATCATGCAGGCTGTAGTGGATCATGCATACAGGTAAACAATAAAAGTGCAAATAAGTTCATAACGTGCAACCTTTATAGTGTATGTAATCTACAAGATACTCTTTTAAATACTTTTAGATTTATAGACATCTATATCAAATGGCCAGGAAAGGTGCATGATGCTAGAGTGTTCTCTAATTCATCTCTGTTTCATAAGGGTCAACAAGGGCAACTTTTCCCCAACGTAAGTATGAGATGTGATGAAATTTGTTAAAGATATCATGGTATTATAACGTTTAGATGGATCCCATTCCCATAACCCTTTAAGTGGAATGCACCCTGATGTGCCCTAAAAGATAATACAGTTACCTTTATTTAGTGGACAGAAAATATCGGTAATTGTGAAGTTCCAATTACACTAATTGGAGATGCAGCCTACCCTTTGTTACCCTGGCTAATTAAGGGATTTCAAGATGATGGAAATCTCTCACGAAGTCAAATCCAGTTCAATAGAAGTCTTAGCAGCGCACGTATGGTAGTAGAAGGAGCATTTGGCCGTTTGAAGTGTCGATTTCGTTGTCTTCTTAAGAGAAATGATACAAGCCTGCAGAAGTTACCTGTCAAAATTGCGGCGTGTTGTGCTTTACATAATATATGTGAAATGAATGGGAAAAGTTTAACCCAGAGTGGCTTCAGAATGATGTTAATAATAATATCAACATAATTAATGATGTTCACATCCCTGACGCAACTGCCATAAACATTCGACAAGCACTAACTAATTTCTTTAGTGCACAAAATGCGTAACATATTAACAAAAACTGATGCATGCAAACTATAACTTTACAAAGGCTGCGTTTTGCCTTTTTGGTTCATAAAAACGTTAACAGTACCAAAATTATGTAATTAATATGGTCATATGTTTGATAAACTGTTCCTCTTTTATAATTTATTATAATTTATAATATGTTTTGGTGCTGTTTTCATCTTCAAAGTAAAACTGATTACTGAGAGGTTGTTGCACAGTTGGCTGCTGTCTGCTTGAAATGGCATTGGCCAGTAATGCCATTGAATCAGTATATGCCTTTAATTCTTGTTTTCGTAGCTCAGCATCAACTTTAACCTGGTGTTTCATTTCTTCCAAAATTTTTTCATCTGATTCCTTTTGGGATTTTGTAAATTCATCCATACATTTTTGAAATTCTTCTTGTTTTGACAATCTTTGCTTCTTCTTGTTACTTCGTATTGATCCTATAATATTGCGTTTTGCATTTGATGGCTTTGATCCACTGGCTTCAGAATCTTGTGCATCAAGATCTGGAGTTTCATGGCCAACAGCTTTTTCTAACTCAGACATAATTTCTGAAGCATTGTCATCATCATCATCACCATCTTCACTTGAATCATGGATATCTTCACCTATTAAGATAATAACAATATAACATTCTAACTGCCACTCTGTTATGCACTAATATATCAACCTTCCATGGCCAAGCAGTTCAATTAATTATAAAAACCTTGTATCACAATTTACAATGGGTTGTTCCAGAAAAGATCCATACTCCCCCCATGGAGGAAATTTCTGCCGTCCGGAGGGGGAGGGGAGAAAAATTGTTCCTGATATCCTGACATCCGAAGGGGGTAGGAGGGTTAATTTCCTCTGTGGGTGTGGTATGGATGTTTTCTGGAATAACCCAATGCACATAAAACTTGTACCTGCTTCTTTGCAACCACAATCAGAGCACTCAAAATCATCATCATCAGAAAACACACCAATGCATCCATTATCACTGATGTGTACCCCAGATGTTCGAATCTTTGTTGCAGTACCACAGTTTATGCATTTTTTCTCTAACTTTTTCCCTTCACCATATTTTTTTATTAAATCCAATTCTAAAAATTAAAAAAGCTAAATGAAATGCCTATAATTTGAATCAGTTATAGATAGTTTTAGAAAATTCTACTGTTTATAAACACTGCCCAAACAATGGCCAAGCAGTGATGGCACCATGTATAGGGGGAATAGAAACAAGGGAATCGCAATTTTGAGGTGGAAAAATCAATTTTTTCTTACAAAACTAGCAAAATATTTTATAAACAACCGATATATTTCTGCAAGAAAACGATAATCATGCAGACTATGCAAAAAATATCTGTAGTTAAACACAATAATACAAAGGAAAGATTAAATTTCCACTTGCCTAGATCTGATTTATTTTCCGTTTCTTCTGAAATTGACGAAGACAAAGTATCGATGGCTGCATCAATTCCAGTGGCCTCAGGTTGGTCACCAAGAAAAACATCTAGCTGCTCAAAAAACTTCGGTTCTTTCACTCTTGCAGCCCCTGAACGAGCCAGTGCATCTTTGTACTTTTTATATGTGGTTTTCAAGTGCTTAACTTTTGTTCTACATTGTGTAAAATCGCGTTGGAACCCCAGGGTTTCCAGTTTTGCACTCATTTTCCCGTATATGTCCTCGTTTTTACGTGATGTTGCCAGCATCTTTAAAATTGATTCTTGACTCCAAATCGATATTAATGCCAATACTTCATCATCACTCCAGGTTTCTCCTCGTTTAGCCATGGTAAAGCTAGATTATTTTGCAGAACTTCGACGAACAACAACAAAAATGGCGGTCGAGCAATTTCGATCAAAACTCTGGAGAAAAAACGCGCGAAAAATTGCCAGGCAGCTAAGCACCAAAACTAGCTCGGTCTAAATGCGCGAACCGATCCGAGACTACCTCCCGAGGTGGTCTAGTTTAATTCGACCTCGATTCGATCTCGGTTCGTTTTGGGCTGTCCACACTTGGCCCGATACGGACTGAGACCGCTTTTTGATCGATCTAAATTGCTAGTGTGAACAGCCCCTTAGTTGCCTGGTGTGAAACAAAATAAATTATTAAACTAAATATCTACTAATAACAAGGTTAGATGTTTGTAGCATAGAAACTACTTTACCCTAAGTAAACTTAATTGATCACAATTCAATATATTTTAAAACCAAACCTGAGAATGTTGTGAACATTGCGCTAGTATTATACCTATCAAAATGACCATACCTTGTGTAATATGTATGACTATAATAATAATAGGTATCAAGTGTCACAGGAGTGATTGGCAAGGTATTAGGACATTAGTAATATGAGACAGGGACATGAGAATTGTTATTGTGTGATATTCTAGTGTGTAAAAGAATATATAGAAAAGTCTGGTTTTGTATCGTTGTTGTCTGATTCGCTTATATTACATTTGGTGCCGTGACCAGGATGGCAACAGCGTCGCGTACGAGTGTAGCACTTCCCGAGATCTTTTCAGACGGCGATATGGTTCTGTGGCTACGAAAATTTGAGCTTTGTGCGAAGGCGAACGATTGGAAAGATACAGATATGTTAAAAAGGCTGCCAACTCTGTTGTCTGGCAAAGCTTTTGCGATCTTCGAGCGTCTTGCGGCGGAGACGAAAGAAGATTTTAAAGTACTAACGAAAGCGCTAACGGAGGCTTTTGGTGGTGATGAGAACGGCAAACATCTCGCGATGATGGCATTTCGCAGCCGAATGAGAAAGCCAGACGAAGACATCCAAGTATTCGCCTACAATTTAGAAGCGCTATTAAGACGCGCGATGCCAAACATCGAGAAGGGCGACAGAGAAACACTTCTCAAGCAACAATTTGTCGAAGGAGTGTCTATAGAACTAAAGAGACAATTATTACAACGACCGACCCTCTCGTACGAGGAGACAGTTACGGCGGGGCAACAGCTGGATTTAGCGGGCCAGATTTCATCGAGTCAATCGGTTAACGAAGTGAATACGAGCGGTGGCACGCATCAAACCGTAGTAGAGTCGCCCTTGGTTATGCAATTGATGGAAAGTGTAGATATTCTTACGAGGAAGGTTAGTGAATTATCTCAATCTGTTGCTAACGTAAACGCAGCGTCCGTGCGAAATTCCCCCGCGGGGCGCCGGGGCCCTTGTTATCAATGTGGGCGAATGGGTCACATCGCCAGCGAATGTAGGAGTACGTCCGGGAACGGGCGACGAATGAATCAGTATCGACAGCGCCAAACTGAAAATTACTGCTTTGTTTGTGGACAGATGGGGCATTTCGCGCGGGAATGCCAGTTTCGATTCCAGTCCTCCATTAATAGCCAACCACGTCAGGGAAACGACCAGGGGCCGACCCGTTTCTAGGCCGGGGGTCAGCCCAGGATAATGCGGCCTTGCCCATAAACTGTGTTCAGCCCACGGCAGTCTTCGTAAAGGCACGATTGGGCGAACATGAGCGAAAATGTTTAGTGGACACAGGTGCAACGGTGTCGTTAGTCAGCAGAGAATTCATTAGTGGACCCTTAAAGCCATGTTCTTTGAGGGCAAGAGGGATTGGCGGGGAGGACCTACATGTGTTGGGATCAACGGACTTGCATGTTTGCCTTGGGATGTCAAAGGTCTCCCATCAGTTTCTGGTCGTGGGTATGAGAAACACTTGCATTTTGGGTGCTGATTTCTTAAAATCGGGGGGAATGGTTGTGGAATAGCGAACTCGAAGCTTTCGTGGAAGACAGGGGAAGCAGAATTAATCGTTGAGACAACTTCCCCAACTGTGAACAAGCTAAGTGTACTGCTCGAAAGTTATTCAGACATTTTTGTAAACGGGCCGAGCGATCCCTTAGGCTTAACTACCAGGGCGGAACACGCGATTGATACAGGGGATAGTCGCCCAGTGAAGCAAAGGCCCTATCGGATTCCCGTTCATCTCACAAAGTCGTGAACAATCAGGTAAATGATATGTTAGACAGAGGTTTAATTCAACCTAGTAACAGTCCTTGGTCCTCGCCAATCGTGCTAGCTCCGAAGAAAGACGGTGATTACCGGTTTTGCGTTGACTTTCGACGTGTTAACTCCGTAACAAAGAAGGACGCTCAGCCAATGCCCCGTATCGACGACATTCTAGACCAGTTGGGGGGTGCACATTACTTCAGTACCCTAGATCTCGCTTCCGGGTATTGGCAGGTACCGTTAAGAGAGGAAGATAGGGAGAAGACTGCATTTTCGGTGGGAGTAGACCACTACGAATTCACGGTGATGCCTTTCGGTTTAACCAACGCTTCCGCCACGTTTCAGCGCATGATGGGGAACGTCTTGAAGGGGATAAAGGGGTGCCTTGTTTTCATCGACGACATAATCATCTTTTCCGAGACGTGGGAGGAACACCAGCTAATTTTGAAAGAAGTATTTAGTCGTATTCGCGCTGCTGGGTTGAAAGTAAAGCGGGAAAAGTGCCAGTTCGCGCAAGAGTCAGTTAAGTTTCTTGGGCATGTCGTATCGGCGCGAGGGACCGAGCCTGACCCATCGAAGGTTGAGGCGGTGCGAGACTTTGCAACCCCATCTTCCCTTACCGAGGTTCGTGCATTCATCGGTATGGCATCTTACTATCGAAGATTTATAAAGAATTTCGCGGACATCGCCACGCCCCTGCATGACATGACTAAAGGTAGTCAGCCAGAGTTCAACTGGACGCCATTAGCGGACAAGTCGTTCAATGAG